TGTAAACTGGATTTGTGTGATGTCGTCGATGGGTTTTTAGCTTTTGCATTTTTTCCTCAGTTTGGGGCAAGAGAATCAAACAGGTTTTTGTTTTGTGGATAATCTTGTTCCATTGTGGATTGTGTTGAGTTTTGAACAAGTGCTTGGAATATTTCTTTGCTTACAAAAAGCAATTTATGAAAGCATTTTAGCAAACCATCGGAAAACGCCCATTGGTCTTCAAGTTGAAAAAGGTTTAAACACAAAAAGTGAGTTTAGGATCATTTACAAATGACGTGGTGCCGGTCCTCTGAAAAACACCAGGCAGATGCCTACCTGTGCAGGGAATAGTGGACAACTGGGACAGGCATCAGCTGCTCACCCAGCAGTGACTTTGACAACTGTGATGTTCTCAAGTCAAGACATCCTAAAACGAGATCTCAGGGAAAGTGTTGTGGAAAGAAGTGGTTGTTATTAAACGTGTGCTTCTGGTTTTGTTGTAGAGTATGTTCTAGTAATGATTTGAGACCTCAAGCTTCAGTTTTCCATAAGATCTTCTTAGCTGATTTGTGAATGTCCCCCTTCCTACCCTTGAAATGTTATTTGTAGTTTGAGGAAGGCAAGCTGAGGGTGAAAGCCCCAAGATGTGGCTTATTCAAATAAAACTGAGCTCTGGAAGTAAGTGCAGCCCCACATCCAATTTAATCCTTCCCGTAGGCTGGGAATGAGCAAGTGCAGTGGCTGGAGAGCTGGGTCTCCACTGACAAAGGCAGGAGCTGCAAAGAAGATTGACTCTGCTTATTACATGGAAGGCAAGAGGCAGAACTTTCCTGGGTGGGTTTCTGGCATAGGGACAGCTCTCAGGTTTAGTGTTATCATTCACCCTTCTCTGAAGCTTAAGAATTACAGCCTCGTAATTCAGACAACTCTCATTTATGCAGTTTCAAACACAGAAAGAACCTTGTTCAAGAGCTGTCATTAAAACTTTTTTGTTTAAATGATGAGATGTTTATGAGAGTTTGGACTTGGAAGTGCCCTGTGTGCAAATGAAGTATCACCCTCCCATCTCAGAGTGCTGTAAAATCAACCATACTGATGGTGCTTGTCATATGGTACTTTTCCAAGCAGGTAGAAGGTTTATCAGTGCTGATTACAGCACCAAAATTTGGAAATACAGTATGAGCATAGATCAGATGGGATCTGGATATATGCTGAGAAACAGTGACTGTTGCAGATGGCTCCTTTATAATATAGGGCAGTGTGTGTGTGTGCATCCTCTCTGCTTTTTCATAGGGCATATGCTCTAGGGTTTTACAGATGAATTTGTAGTCTCTAATAATGTGCAGTTTCCATTGCAGTTTGAAATACCTACATCATTTTCATGTTGATGATTTTTTCCCAGTCATTTATCCCAAAAGCACTTCATCTTACTTAATCTGGGTCATAATTGACATGGGACTTGTACATCACCAAACACAGCCGTAAGTTGTGTTTGAATGGGCTATTAATGTCAGGGATTTAGTTACGTGCAGCAAAATAGATCAGAGGTTGGAATAAGTATAAATATTCAAGTAACTGGTGAATGCAAGGTCGCTATCATGTCTCGGACCCAGGAAACACTCCTGAACACTTACATGCTTATGCTATTAGCTAACAGCTGCCTCTGGCTGTAACAGGGACGTAAGGTTGAAAATTGTTGTCAAGGAAGCTGTTGGACTTGGATCTTATTTACTAAAAATCAACAGGGTATCTGTGCAAACATAAAAGACATATGGAAAAGTCCACTGTTATTGTTGTACTTTGTTATGTCTCCAGATGTTTTCCCTCCTGCCCCACTCTGGAGGCTGAAAGTGGAAAATGGGTTTTAGTTGATGGTGCCAACATCTGCCTTGGTATTGCCCTGGGAAATGGTATTAGCACTACTTCAAGTTTCTGATTTATCATTTGTGTCTCATTAGGTTTTGGGGGATTTTTAATAAAATACGATGTAAAAGCATGAAGTTTCAACCCTGTTTAATTCTTTTGGGAATGAAAACAAATCAAGGGAGATGGTGGCCACTGAACTATCAAAGCAACACTTACCAGTTGCCTTATTTTTAAGGGGCTATAAATGACGTATTGAAACATTGCTTCGAGCTGACATTTTTCATTGAAAGAAACAGTATTTGTGTAGCTCAAACACACTTGAAGATCCTAATTTGCTTAAAATAGCTCTATTCTTCAGCATACACTTAATCCATCATCAATTCACAGGGGAAGGAGAGCCAAATGAGTATCATCATTTGGAAGTACTCTTCGTTGGTCATATACGCTTCTAGTTTTTCTCATCATGGTGTTTAAAATTACAATGCCATAGTTTTGAACCCGGTTTATTCATCCACTTTGTGGGTGTGTAACACTAACAAAGTTGACCCAAGTGTTGACTGCTGAAAAAGGTGCTTTTAATCGAAATGTAAACCAGGATGGCTTTTTCCCCTCAAAGCTTCTGTACTTCTGCTTATCAGAACCAGCTACACAGAAGCAGGTTTTATGAATTTTTCAGAGCTTAAATTCGACCTTTCAGATAGGAATAAGCTTTGGAGAAAATGTAATCCGAAATTCTCCAATATAGGTGTCCGAGATTAGATTCTTACCTTTGGTTCATTTCTAGCAGACTCTAGCCCATTGTTTTCACAATAACTAGAAGAATGAAGCAAAATCTGTGACTAGAGCTCCTAGGTGGTAATAGTATAAATTTTAGCAGCATCAGTCCATGTTTAGGTGAGTTTTCTGGTGTAATCTATTGGGTCTGAGAAACTTCAAATTCTTTAAGATCTCGCCTTTTTTCTTGCTTCTTTGTGCCTTCGAAGTTGTTTGGTTACTTGTTGGCTTGCTATTATTTATAGTTCACTGCTGGATTTTTGAAGTCCTAGCAAGAAATTCCACAGACAGCTGCAAAATATATCTTTAATCAATTTTAGGAAGACTGATTCCCAAACTAACGTATTTCTTCCATCAAGACACAGGATAAACTTTTCTGCAGTTACTCAGGGGGAAAAGGTCTTCCTGACAAAAATGTCCTGTTCATGGATGCTGTAGTGTCATGGTCATATGGTTCAGGGTAGTTTTAGTGTTGTAATTAATGTACATTGGTGTCCCGGTTTAACTGCGGCCATCAACTAAGCACCACACAGCCACTTGATCACTCCTCCCCCAGCAAGATGGGGGGAAGAGAACTGGAAGGGTAAAAGTGGGAAAACTCATGTGTTAAGATAAGAACAGTTTAATAATGTAAATAAATTAATAATAGTAATCCTAGAATCCTGGAATGGTTTCTGTTGGAAGGGACCTTGAAGTTCATCCTGTTCCAAACCCCTGCCATGGGCAGGGACACCTTCCACTAGAGCAGGTTGCTCCAAACCCCTGTGTCCAACCTGGCCTTGAACACTGCCAGGGATGAGG